CAATCATGAAGATTTAGTGTTAAGGAGATCTGGTATCTGATCTGAAATGTTTGCAAATACGGAAGGTTCATTTAACTCAGTGAATAAAGCAGGAACATAATCTACTTATGATAAGCATAATAAATACACTCAGCAGAAACTCTATCAGCACCACATATGACATATACAGGTACAGCCTACAATTTCATATAACAGAATGTTTTGAAAATACAACATTCCTCTGTGAATGACCTCAGGAGGCACTGTGATCCACTGGCAAATCCAATTAGGGTAATAACTTAAACCACTGATCTGAAAATCAGGGTAGCCATGTGAACTCTGAAAATATGGCATCGTACTGCATCAGAACCTGATCAATAAGACACATTTCTTAACCGAGTGCAGCTTCTACTCATTTCCCTAATCATCATTATCCCCCAAACTCTGACTCTTCTGTTGTGCAACCTGGCAAACTGTTGGCTCACACACATCAGGTAATGAGGCTTCTAAAACTCTATTAAATGTCATCAAGGTGCACACCCAGCAAGGTCCAGCCCCCCCTCTGATTGGCTGAGAGCAGAAGGCTGTGGTTGAACTGGCTGAACTGCTGTAAATGATTCTAACTGTATCAAGCTGTGAGGTGGGGTACAGCTGTAAAGGGGCACTTGTGCCCTGTATCATTAATGACTAAAAAGGAGAAAAGTCACATCTGCATGTGTCGATAAAAAACATAGCAGTGGTCATCAACTACCAAGATAGTGTATACACTGTATTTTAGATCACAACTAATGATTCAAATGATGTGTTTGACACCTTAACCTTTATTCCAGACGTTTTGACAGAGCTTGTGATGTGGTTTGACTGTGAAAATGAAAATAGAATAGAAAGTCAACAATAAGAGCCCACATTTGACAAATCGCACAAACAGATGCTGTCACCACGTTGCAGGCACGCCCTGACAAAATGCTTTGTGTTATTAAATTCACGCCACGTAATTACAAAGAAAAGAAACACAGACTGCAGAGAAACACTTTCACAAGATCAAACAGTAAATCTAACAAAACACGGTCAGTTTACAGGAGCTTCACGGAATAAAGGGGAGCTTATTAAAGACAGGGAAATGAAGCATAATACGTAATGCTCTGAAGCATAGCAGTGCTTTACAGAGCAGATTCAGATAGTGTGGCCAGTGTGTGGTGCTTTTGGCTGCTAACAAGTCCACTTCTGGCACAAATACCCGTATGGGGTTTCAGGCAGTCTTATGTGGTTTGAAAATCACAGACCTGTAAAAGCATTGTTTTCTCAAAACCCCATTTCAAAGAGAGGCCAACACCATAGGTTTGAGAGTAATAATCATACTTTGGTAGTGATGCATCCACAATTATGGCATAGAAAGGAATGTAGTCTGATAGCTTATTATCAAAGGTCTTTGCTTTGCATAGTTCATGCTGTTTTTAAGTTAGAGTCGGGGTGTAGGAGAGTTTATGTAGGACATAAGATTGACTTCAAACTGAAATTGAACAGACATTTAATGGCAGATTCGTCCCATGTAAATTAGCTTTAAGCTAACGAGCACAGTAAGTCAAATGGCAACATTTACAAATCATTTTGTAAACAGTTCCTCACAAATAAAATGAAATCCTGACAAAGAATTAGGAGAGAAAACAACAAGGGGCTTATTCCCAATCTGACTGTCCCCTTGTTTGAGTCAAATAAGGAAAAACTAGGGGCAAAACTATGTCTTTTCTGCCATATATTGGTTTTATAGGGTAGGGTAATGTTGACTTTAGTGATGAACATAGATAAGTGAGCCATATCCTCGAGTAAAACAAACTGATACTCCAAGTTGGTGTTTATACATGCACTCATTTGACCTTCACCATAAACACTACACTAAATGCATCAGGCGGATGTTGACAACTTGCAGACCACTAGCTATGTGTTCAAGGCCATGGGTAGTGTAGGAAATTGAGGGGTGCAGTAAAGTGAGGGCAAATGCAACTGAAATGCACAGGAGCTGGTGTGTTGCCAGCAAACATAAGCTTGGTGAGAGCATCCCCACAGAACCAGTGGTGTTGTGAAGACTCTCCTGAGAAAAAGGAGCGCTGTCCCCACAACCTGCCTTACTATATTAAGGAGTAGTGTCTTATGGAGTAGAGTACCAAGTTCAACTACCAAGATGGCATCTTATGTAATACAAGTAAAGGCAGAAGGTTCTTCAAGCACTTCTTGATCAAACACACTTATGTTCACTGACAACAACGTGGAATACTGTAAAGAATCCTTTTTACATTAAAGGACATGATTGAGACAACATTGTAAACCTAGTTATAAACATTAAACCAAAAGAGGAAGGAAACAGGGACATCAGGATGTGTGAATCATATTTCCTAAATAATGACGTAAAATATTTTGTTTATGTATTCCCTAGCCGTTGAAGGCCAGCCAGGTCCTGCAGGGTCTCCAGGTGAGCCAGGACCAATGGGACCACCTGGACCTTCTGGGAAGAGTGGTACAGGATATACAGGACCACAAGGCCCAGCAGGACCTCCTGGACCCAAAGGCTACTCTCAACCAGGTAAACCTGGTGCCCCAGGGGGCTCTGGGAAACCAGGTAGCTCTGGCATCCCCGGTCATAAAGGTGAATCTGGCCAAACTGGACCAATGGGTGCCAGAGGTTCACCTGGTCCACATGGAACACCTGGACCTGCTGGAATTTCTTCGGCTGGAAAACCTGGACAAGGTGGCATGCCTGGGGCAATGGGACAGAGAGGAGAGTCTGGTTTAAAGGGACATCCTGGTATTCCTGGTCTTCCTGGCAACAAAGGAGAGAGAGGCATTGGAGTTCCTGGGGTTCAAGGACCACCAGGCACGGTTGGACCAATGGGCCCATCTGGAATGCCTGGCAAGTCTGGAGTTGGTAAACCTGGTGCCACTGGCTATCCTGGAGAACCTGGCAAGAGTGGCACACCAGGAAGAGACGGCACTTCTGGGCCAGTGGGTACGCAAGGACATAAGGGTCATACTGGGGCTCCAGGTACAGGAGCACCAGGGAAATCAGGCCAGAATGGTACCCCAGGTATGCATGGACCTATGGGTGCTAAAGGTCCACAGGGTCCAGCCGGTCAGCCAGGATCCCCTGGCATGCCAGGTGTTGGCAAAACGGGCGAATCTGGAATACCAGGTAGCAGAGGATCCCCCGGTACATCCGGAACCACTGGACAGAAAGGAGAGCCAGGCCCAACTGGTTTTACTGGTCAGCCAGGTGCTCCTGGTCAAATTGGCCCAGCTGGTCCACAAGGTTCAAGAGGATTCCAGGGTGAGGGAGGCCCAGCAGGGCCTAAGGGCGACATTGGTATGGTTGGCGCACCAGGCCCAAGAGGAACCAAGGGTGAACAGGGAGCTCAGGGTTTCACTGGTAAACCAGGTTCCCCAGGTGCAGTAGGTCCTGCAGGACTTCCAGGGCATAATGGTCTTCAGGGTCCAAAGGGTGCACAAGGCCATGGAGGTGCACCAGGAGTCCCAGGCTCAAATGGTGCCCCAGGACCAAAAGGACACACAGGACCTGCAGGAGGACCAGGAAAAAGTGGTGATAATGGAAAACCAGGATCCAATGGACCAGTTGGGCCCAGCGGTCCATCAGGTCTTCCTGGACTTAAGGGTCATCCTGGCCTTCCAGGCCCACCTGGCCCAGCTGGCATGACAGCTAAGGGAATTTCTGGTCCTCAGGGTCCAGCTGGAATTCCAGGTGCCAGAGGTCAAGATGGTCATCCAGGCCCTGGCGGTCCTCCTGGTCCACCTGGCCCAGCAGGAGAGATGATGTACCACCATGAGAAGAGCATGCCAATCAAGTCCCATGAGGTTGTGATGTCCCATGAGATGATGAAGGCCCCAATGTCCGCTTTCAGTGCTGTGCTGACCAGAGCCTACCCCCCATCTGCAACCCCTATTCAGTTCGACCAGATTGTTTACAATGGGGAGAACCATTATGACGAGCACAGTGGTGTGTTTACCTGCCAGGTCCCCGGCCTCTACTATTTCAGCTATCATATGCATGTCAATGGTGCTAATGCATTGGTGGCCCTCTACAAAAACGAGGAGCCAGTTATTTTCAGCTATGATGAGTACAACAAAGGTTTCCTGGATCAGATGTCAGGCAGTACTGTTCTCATGCTGCATGGTGGTGACAGAGTCTATGTTCAGGTCCCTGATGAGGATAGTAATGGCATATTTGCAGCGGATAATGTTCACTGCTCTTTCTCTGGGTTCTTGATTGCCTCAACGTGATTTCAGAAATTCAAATAAATCTCAAAATCTTTCAAAACATTAACAACTCAGAGCAACAGATCAGTATATAAAATCACAAATGTAGTTTTAAAAAATATATATGGTGCTAATTTTCAAGTTTCACTGCCTCATAAAGATCTTTACAAAAAAAATACTTTAATTTTCCAAAGAATTTATCAATTGACAGACCTGGTCTGCTCATTAATGCTGAGTAAAATCTTTAAAAGGATGGTTAAAAATGATCCCTTTTCCCAAGTTAACCATGTGTGTGCCTTTGCCATTTTTAGAAACATGAAACAATATTGGAAGATATGTTAAGTGTTGCTTTACAACTGCCTGTAACATTTACAGCACGTCTTTTATTTGTATTTGTTTTTATTAATGTCTGATGTTTAAGACTTTTTCTGTAATATACAAATACGAGACATGCAAAACTGTTGTACTAAATGTTATTCGAGATCAGCACATTCACACAAGCACTGTGACCAGCAAACCAACACAGCATGAGAATCTCAAACTGCATTTCTTTCCAAAACAATAATGTCCCATTGGATGTGTTAAGTTATGTACCACTTGCTGACCAAAACACAGAATAAAACTTCTAGTTTGAAAAAGAAAGTATTGTGTAAGTTGTTTTTTCTTATTTACAGTATGGGTAATCACATTACTCCTTGTTAAACCATTAGAAATAGGCAACAAATGATATTGTCTGATGTTTGGCATAAAAGGCATACCTTTGAAGGCAGATGTTTTATAATTGTGGTCGATGGCAGCAACCATGTCTTTCCAAAAGTCGGAATTCACCTCGTTTCCTCGCTGTTCACAAAAACATGAATTAACAATTTAATTGTTTTTCCACATGAAAATCTCAACCATTCATTTGAAACCATAAATTATGAGATATTACCTTATGCAACATGTCCACAACTCTTCCGCAGAGGAGAGCCCCTGGCAGGTCAAAGTAGTTGTCATAGAAATAGTATTTTGCTGCAAAGACCAAAGAAAAAGTCTATGAAAACTAGTGACAGGTGATGTGAAGAAAAGGGAAATTCAGAAGCTTTAAGAAGCTTTTTGGTACTTTTTCATAGTCAATGTATAACCTAGAGTAGATGGCGGTCAGCCCACTTTAGAGAAACAGACAGGACTACAGGGAGTGAGCAAAGCAATGTCCTGCTGTGGACAGGGGCAGCAGCATAATGCATTTAAGCAGACTTAGAGATTTGTGGCATTGTTTAACTTTGGTGTTTTGAAGTATTGAAGAGCACAAATGACTAGCCTCATTGACCGTTGCAAAAAGGGCTGTCTGAAGGCAAGATAAAGCAGTAAAAAGATAATAAATAAAGCGTACATTAAAACGGATTAATCTCTTTAGGTGGTAAAAATATGTTTTGCTCCTGCCCCTCGTCTGCCTGTTTCTCCAAACAGTGGCCGTGTATACCGCTGTCTACAGTAGTTCAAACACTGACATCCTTAAAAGCCAACAGCATACAACTATTAGGTATAAAGATGGATACAAACATCATACCGGATCTTGTGAAGGTGGTATTGAGGCTGTTGAAATGCCCCCACTCCCTCTTAGGACCATAATGTTTAATGATGTCTTCCGTGCTGAGGTCATTGGTTCCATGTGTCGCTCTAAAAAAGAAAAAGATAACTATTTTCTAATATCTGTTGATTTGGTTGACGGATTAAATATATTTCATGCACTAAAAGCATACCGCAAGACGGTTCCATCTTCAGCCAGCTTCACAAGGTTTCCATCCTCCAGATCCACCACGAGTCCTTTGAAACTGAACAGAAATGTAACATGTTAGAAAACTTTATAAATCACTTCCCATATACTCAGCTCCTAGAATGAACCACTCAGTGCCGACCAAGCAGGACAACAGAAAGATTAGCTTACTGAGCTGCCACAGTCACATCATTTAAAGTACATTTAACAAAGGTCCCAGCAGGAGTCTAGTAACACTAGACTATCAAATTGTTTTCTTCTTTATTGCAAATACTAGATACCTTACTCTATTTTACTTTAAAATCCTACAGAGGTATTCATCTAAGAGCAAAACATATTCTTTGGTTTAACTTCTCTCCTTGGTTGGTCACAAGAAGACTTCATTTTATTCATAGGGTCAGAAGCCAAATGTCTGTGAAGCACTGGAGCTTAGAGTAGGTCCTGAGTGCGTTCAGTCAATTTGCTTCGGTTTATGTGGTGCATACAAAGACAACCAAAAAATAATACGTAGCAAAACAAAATAAAATAAAAATAAGACTGTTATAACAGCTATTTAAAAAAAAATATTTTAAGACTATTGTAACAAATTTAAAATAAATACAATATTTACACAAAATATAATAATCTGAGAAACTGAGTAAAGTCAAATATAATCAAATATGATAAATACTACATACAATATTCAAGGTGGAGAGCTGTGATATAGGGCCTTCTGTGTTTTAGACCCACTGAATCAAAGTGAACTCATCCCTTCCATAGAAATGTTTTTGGAGTTGTTGTTTGAACTCATTCTACTTCCTGATGGCTCAGGACCCCAATAACATAGGGAGCACAAACAGATCAGGCATAATGACACAACCATGGCACACAGCATAATTGTTTCTGAACAGTTACTAAATCAGCCTACTATCACCTAAAGAACATATCTAGGATTAAAAGACTAATGTCACAGCAGGATTTTGAAAAACGTGTCCATGCTTTTATCTTCAGTAGACTCGACTACTGTAATGGTGTCTTTACAGGCCTCACTAAAACATCTATTAGAAAGCTGCAGCTGATTCAGAACGCTGCTGCTCGAGTCCTCACTGACACTAAGAAAGTGGATCACATCACATCACTGTTCTGAAGTCTTTACACTGGTTCCTCACTAACACTAAGAAAGTGGATCACATCAGTCCATTTCTGAAGTCTTTACACTGGTTCCTCACTAACACTAAGAAAGTGGATCACATCACTCCTGTTCTGAAGTCTTTACACTGGTTCCTCACTGACACTAAGAAAGTGGATCAGTCCTGTTCTGAAGTCTTTACACTGGTTCCTCACTAACACTGAGAAAGTGGATCAGTCCAGTTCTGAGGTCTTTACACTGGTTCCTCACTAACACTGAGAAAGTGGATCAGTCTTGTTCTGAGGTCTTTACACTGGTTCCTCACTAACACTGAGAAAGTGGATCAGTCCTGTTCTGAGGTCTTTACACTGGCTTCCTGTCTGTCAAAGAACTGATTTCAAAATACTGCAGCTGGTTTATAAAGCTTTGAATGGTTTAGGCCCAAAATACATTTCTGACCTACTGCTAAATGATGAACCATCCAGAACTCTCAGGTCTTCAGGGACGAGCCTACTTTCTGTCCCCAGAAAGCAGGGTTCAGTTATTATGCTCCAAACATCTGGAACAAACTCCCAGAAATCTGCCGGTCCGCTGCAACTCTGACTACTTTTAAATCCAGGCTGAAGACTATTCTTTTTAAAGATGCTTTTAATTGAACTATCCATATCTCAGACTGCACTGTAACTTTTATTCATGTATTTATATATTAGCTTGTTTTATGTTTATTTTATTCTCTTTGCTTTTAATGCCTGTTTTTAAATGCCATTATAATGTGTTTCCGCTGCACTATTTCTAAATGCTCTTAATGTCTTTCCTTTGTGTAAAGCACTTTGCATGCCTTGTGTTGAAAGGTGCTGATTAATCAAATGGCCTTGCCTTGCCTTAAACAACGTATTTATTTAAAAAGGTATAAATAACCTTTGAATTTATTACTGATTGTAATTAGGGAATTAGTTTGAACATGATTAATACTAAATATGATACTAGTCTTTGTCATTAAAAAGGTTGTAGATGCTCTGGTTGCACCCCCTTATTACGAGTCATTCTGCTTTGCCTACTCTAAAGTAACCAAGAGCCTGAAGGACACTCTTCAATAATTCCTCACATCTTGATTAAACCAATATGATGACTAAGACTAGATTTTCTTGATGCAAATAAACTTGAGTATGCTAATATCACCTTTTCTAGAGACTCTGACTCTTTTAGTCCATTTTAACCTTTTTATTTCTATTTGACTGAAGTCACACATATGGTCTGTTGCTTTCTATAACAATCAATCAAATGTGATTTATATAGCCCAATTACACAAATTACACATTTGTTTCAGGGGACCCTTTCTTTCCCAAAAAAAGAAAAGAAAAACCCCACGATTACCAGGGAACAGTTTTGAAACCTCGGTGAGAGCAACAGAGGCGGGAACCCTCTTCCAGGACGGACAGACGTGCAACAGATGCCTTCTTTTGTTGTAGATATGATCATTGAATCATGGGTGTACATCAGTAGCATAAGCTAAATGTAACTTTTGATAAGGCTGTCATATCCAGTCTGACGGTGATTGTGTAGTAGAAAAATAATGCAAACAACATTTCACTCCTAGATTTGAGGAAGGATTATAATAGTGTGGGACTGGCAGAGACACGCACAATGGACACATTAATGGACACTTGTGGTAGAAAACAAAGAGTAAGGCACATTTCTGAGCGATGAATTGCAATATAATCATAGAATTCAATTATTTTTAGCTTTATGTATTAGATGTAGTTCTATCCCTTTAGATCAACAGGTACTTCCTGTAGACATCAGCTGCTGCAGTTGCTGACTCACCAGAAGTCCCAGGTAGCAGGAGTGAGGTTCAGCAGGTCCTTGTCATAGCCTTTATGCTCCACCAGATACCTGGCAAAGCTCTCATAGATCAGCTGCAGAAACAAAGAGGACATCATAAGACCACCACACCACCAAATACTGAGCAGCACAGTCTTAATGCAAATGACAAGGAGGTGTCACTGAATATCAGGAATACTTTCTGCAAGGAGGGTTTCTCTGGTTGGAGGTGTAATGAGAAGACTTTCCAATAATGTTCACAATCAACTATATAAGACACCAGTAATGCTTTTGTTTCATTATTTGTAAAACACAGCATTGACATACTATCATTGTCATCTTATAACATTTGAATGGTGAACATGGTAGCTCCCAATTCTGACATCCAACAGACACAAAGAAACTTTGATAGGAGTCACGTTTGTGTGCTCACACTGTTTTCTTTTTTAGCCATTTCAACATGTAACTTAAAATATACTCTCTAACTTTATCTGTGTGCACACTGTTAGGTGCTGGCGAGTACGGTTTTTAAGGCTGAGAGTAATTACAGGATAGGCTGTTCATTCACTTTGGTTTGGTCATTATGCATTACGCATTGGTCTTTAATAACACTTGGTTAAAAGAGAAGTCTTGTGCATGGTTGCCTGCAGTAGTGTAAAGTAACTAAGTAGATGTACTAGTACTGTACTTGAGTACAATGTTAAGAGACATGTACTTTACTTGAGTGTTAGAATTGGTTGCTACTTTGTACTTCTACTCCACTACATTTCAGAGGTAAATGGTGTACTTTTCCTCCACTACATGTATTTAATACCTTTAGTTACTTCACAGATGTGGATGAATGATGTGAAATATAATCAAGTGTTGAATCAGACTTTAGTTCCACCTGGAGTAAATTCACAAGCTACCCTGCAGTATACAAAGTCATTCAAACTAGCTGCACCTTTACCAGCTTTGAGAACACTTTCATGATCAATCATTATAAAACATATCATATATATTATTCTGAAATGGACCAATCTGCACAATCACTACTTTTACTTTTGGTAATTTAAGTAATACTTTTTTACTTTTACTTGAGTAACATTTTGAATGCAGGACTTTTACTGTAACAGAGTATTCCTACACTCTGTTACTTCTTCTTTAACTTAAATGGGACCTATCATGCAAAATGCACTTTTGTACGTCTTTTATACATGAATATGTGTCCCCGGTGTTCCAGGGAACTCACCAAGTGTCAGAAAACACAACCCTCTCTATTTTCCTCCATACCCAAATCTCTAAAAAAGGGGCTGCAACGGATCTGATCAAAACTGATCCAGATTTGAACACTTTACTGATGTCAGTAAAGTGGCGCTACGGCTATTGGGCCAACTCTCCACCTATCAGGGGAATGTGGGGTTGGGCCACGGCCGGCCATTGCCGCTCGAAAGCGCTGGAGAGGCTGTAGTACATATGCCAGGCCTGTAAGTGGCACTGTAGTCTGCCACAAAAGCAGCGAAGAAGACCTCCCGCGCATGGTTACCATGGTTACCCTTCTGTTTATTCTCCGCTGTGGCTTTTTTTCTCCCTCCCCGAGGCAAGCGTTTGCTCCCGCTGCTTTAATTCAATGCAATCCCTCCCCGTCGAGTCAAGCACTGTAATTCTCTCCGGTTAGTCCACCAGCAGATGACAAACACCCACCTCTCCGCCTCTTCCAAGGAACGAGGGGACCGTGCGGCAGAGTTTCAGTTAGGTTTTCTTTCGCCGGTCAAGATGTCCGTTAAAGTTTAAATCTTCCGGACAAAATTTGAAAAGTGCCGGTCAAAGGTCTTCTTTGTTATTTATTGAGCTTTAAAACAAATGAATAACGACTCTATAGGCCTATAATAATATAATAAAACACGGAGGACGGAGATCTATTTTTCTCCCCCTCTTCTGACTTCTCCCCTCTCCTGCAGGGGGGCGTGGTCAGCTGCAGCTCACAGAATCAGCCCCGTAGACAGCAAACAGTAAATAGAGCGAAATGAGGCATGGCTAAAATGCATGATCTGTTTGGTATTTTGAAAACAAAAACGTATAAATATACCTTATATAGGTATGGCCCTACAATATATCATTTAAATATAGCATGATAGGTCAACTTTAAATACCGGATATAAGGACTTCTTCCACCTCTGGTTGCCTGTATAGGGACAGCTTTACAGATAAAAGTCCCATCAGTGGAACAGAGAAAGCGTTATTGAGCTTCCCTCTCTGGTTCTCTGTATGAAGTGCACTGACAGGATTAGTAGACCCACATGTGACACACAGCAGAGAGCAGACATGATGAACCCAGGCCGGATGAACAGGCTGGGGTCCAGGGTTCGGTCCCTGTGTCACAGGATCCAGCCACGCTTTAGGCTGCGGTGATTTGAGCTTCTAATAATAGTAACGCAATATGATATGGGAAGCTTGTGTTGCTAATAGGCCCCAGAGAGGATTTATAGACATGGAGGATCATCACGGCCAACCTGTGAGTCCTGCAGCATCAGGAGCCTCCATCACCGTGCACAGCACACATCCCTCCATTCACCTCACACTCTGAAGCCATTGTCCACACACTGTATCCGTGCAGGCAACACACAATTGACAAGAGGTCGAAGAGCGTATTGACGTGCTATTTTTAATCCAGATGTGTTGCGGGTCGAAGCCTCGCGGCCACCGTCCGGCTATCACTCACCCTGGAGGTCTCCTTCAGGTGGTAGCGGCACAGCGTGTGGTCCAGGTCGAAGCCGATAACATCACTGTCCGCCAGGCTGAAGTATTCCGTCATTGTAACAGAAGCTCCGGAGCCCGACGACAGCCACACAGCAGCACGCGACCACTGATGTGTCACTGCGGTCTGTGCACGCGCCTCTCGTGCTGCGTTTACGGTAGCGAGAATACACTTCGGCGCTTTCTTAATCCGAATCAGTTATCCGTGAACGGTTAATAGGTTGTTGCCCGTATGCAGCCAGAAGTGAAACTCCTGCTGTGTTCCAGAAGAAGGCGGCAGAGGGGCGAGCGCGGGAGCGTGCAGTGCTTCCGGGTGGATAACGAAACCGTAACCCACAGTGTATGTGCGCAAAATATATTTCAGAGAGAATTCAATTATTCAGGGCCGGATCAAATTGCTCAGATGCCCGGGGCTCAGCGTTAGAGCTGCAGCATCAGGGGGGTAACAGATAAGAAGCCTTGATCATTCTATCTACTCTATGGGCTGTTGCATACTTGCCAACAGACCCGGCGCCGTGGGATGGCCATCTCCTACTTGATCTCTTGGGCTGTAATTAGGGCCCGAGCACGAGCGCTAGGACCCAACGGCGTCCTAGCACGAAGTGCGAGGAACCTATTGTTATTGGAGGAATTCTTCTTATTATGGTGCTGGCGTTTCCTGTTTTTGAGGTCTTTATGATGCTTCGAAAGTTGTATAATTTTGCACGGATTCCAGGATCGGTGAAAAATTCAATATTCTGGAGTCAATGTGTTCAAATTGTCCAACATGCTCTCTAGCGCCACCTATGGCCATTTCCATTTTTGGAAAGATGTACAAAGTCGCACCGTAACTCCAAATGACCTGAAATTTTGCACACTTATTCGGGTGGACCTGCTCTACATATAATCTCCTTGAACCCCTAAACTCCGCTACTTTATTTTTTTTTAAATTAGTATAATTTTAAAAACACTTAAATATTCACTTAAATTTCAATTTTTTGTTTTTCAACACCAAACTTAGTATACAGCATCGTTGGAGGGTCAGACACATTACCGTAGAAAGAGCATGTTAACACGATAAATATTGCCGCCATGAATCAAAACGTACTCGCAAAAAGGCGGGGCTTAGATAGAAATGCTCATAACTCATCAACACTGTATCCAAAAAACACACATTTTGGTGGTAAGGTTCAGTCTGTATTGGGGAATAGGCACAAAAAGTAATTTTCATTTTGGACTATAGGGGGCGCCAAAAACATGACAAATGTATAACTCAAGAACTGATGGACGAAATAATTTTTTTATTTTTTAGACATACTCTGGGGGTGAGTATAAACTTATATTTAAAGTTTTGCAACGAATGACAAATGTGGGCGTGGCCTGTACTTTTTTTTTTATGACGATGTGCTAAAATGTGCTTCGGAACGCAAAACTTGGGACACACGTCAAAGCCCACGACCTTTTCGAGAATGTAAAAAAAAACGTAATCTTTCAAAAAAACTGCTCACTAGCGCCCCCTATTGTGTGGTAGTCACATATAGTTTCTCAGAACTTCACGAATTTTGGCACACACATTCCTCATGGAATTGCGGACATATTACTAGTTTGGTTCGTGGAGGTCGTAAGCTAACAGCGAATACACAATTTTTGACGATTTACATGTCGCAAATTGCTCCAAACTGCTCGGATATAGTTTTTCCGATATTGACGAAACGCTGTATACACATTCCTATTATGATTGCACACATATTTCAAATTGCCTTCCATTAGCCCCGCCCCTCAGGAAGTCGGCCATTTTGAAAAATGTGCGTTTTTCATGCATTTTAAGCACATTCTTGCGAACTCCTCCTAGGGGAATGATCGGAAAAATTCCAATCCAGGACAAGTTCAGCCCCTATCCAATATGATACTTAATTGCAGAGCACATTTGTGAAAAATCACTCGTGGAGGTCGTAAGCTAACAGCGAATACACAATTTTTGACGATTCACAATGTCGCAAATTAGTCCAAACGACTCGGATATAGTTTTGCCGATATTCACGAAACGCTGTATCCACATTGCTATTATGATTGCACACATATTTCAAATTGCTTTTCATTAGCCCCGCCCCCCAGAAAGTCGGCAATTTTTCATGCATTTTAAGCACATTTTTGCTAATTCGTCATAGGGAAATGATCGAAAAAATTTCAATCTAGGGCAACTTAAGCGCATATCCAATGTGATGCTACATTGCGAAGGAATAGTCGATCGCTTGAACATGGAGCTCGTAAGCTAACGGAGAATGTACCATTTTTGACCATTTATATGTCAGATACTACCTTAGACCCGCCTGTCTGCCCGGCACATCAACTCTCACACACACAAACAGACACACAAACACACGCACACACACACACACACACACACACACACACACACACACACACACACACACACACACACACACACACACACTCACCTACTGTTTGTCCAACAACGCCCTTTGCTGGCGGCATATTCATTACAACAGACACCTATACACTCCCTAACCCTAACCCTAACCCTACTGTTTATTTGTAGATATCTCCTAAAGCCTACAAGTAAAGTGTGTAATGTAGGCCTGTTACATATATTATTGAGCGATATATATTATACACACTGTTCTGCTTTCTGCACTGACCTCAGCAGCTGTTCTCACTGTAAACATCGCGTCACAATGAAAGCAGTTGTATAATAAATAGCCTAACATCCAGGGGAGATGTGATTAGTGAGTAAGCAAACGGTAAAGGGCAGAAAGTCTGATGCACATTTGATCATCTTAAATAACTTATAATCACAACGGGAACAGTTTGCAGAGCTGTGCTTCGTTGACATACAGTAAGTCAAAAATTATAGAAATGACAAACGGCTCATTTCCGAGGACTCGCGCGCGTCTGCTTGACGCCGGGACGACCGGCCGCCCTCCCCGACAGACGCACGGACGCGAGGGCCCGCTCATCACTGTGCGCACTTCTGCAACCGCAGTTTTAATTATTCATTGATTCATAGAAAATATGGTCGTTACATTTTTGATAATATATGAAAATGTCTTCATATAATTATCTGTGTGTGCACACACACACACACACACACACACACACACACTCAAACACACACACACACACACACACACACACACGCACACACAGCAGCAGCCCTCTACTTGCTACAAACTTAAATATGAAAAGGTTCAACTACGCACACACATCATCTCGGCTCGCGCAGCACGCTCACAGGCATAGATTGCGCAATAATGTATTGCGCACCTTGGAGGTGCAGTGCAGGCATATTGTCATTCAAGAGATGCGTAGTTATTTTGGAAAACATGTTTTTCTTTTAGCCTATTTACCTCGTTAACGTAAATAATACTCATTACATTGACACATGCATTATTTGTGATTAAAATAATGGTTGTTGGTAATGTATTAGCGACCCCCACAGATGTATGATTTCACTGCGTCTGTGGGAGCTCAGACCCCTCCTTATGGGAGCTCAGCTCCCTTTGGCTCCCACATAACTCGAACCCTGCCTATTATGCTATATTGGAAAAATATATTGTAGGGCCATACCTATACAAAACATGTCTGTGAAGTTTTTTGCTTAAAATACCAAACAGATCACCCATTGTAGCCATGCCTCATACTGCTCATACCCCTCTTTTGCAGCCCTGTTATGGCGCATTTCCATTGCAGCGCGTAGCTCGCTTTAAGCGTGCCGTGTCGTGCCGTCCCCTTTTTTGGTTGTGCTTCCACTAGGCCTCGTTCCGGCGCGGCACGGCGCGGGGCCACTTTTTCCCCTCTTTTCTGGCCCTAGAAAATTGTGGTTCTATCGGGGCCAACAAACAGGGCTGAGTCGGGCTGAGTATGCTAAACTAGAGAGGAGCGCTGGCAAGAGGGCTAGAACTACAACAAGATGGACATATTTGACCGTGATTTAATTGTAATACACGTTTCAAAATGATGCCGAAGTAACAACATACTGATACCGGTTAGTAAAAACCATGAATTAATGCTTTGTCAAGTCTGCAGACAGACGGCAGGCGAAAAACCTTTTAAAATTCGTGTTTTTCTAGATGGAGATTGGCTAAGCTAACGCAGTATATGCCCCGACCGTCCACACTCACAACAACGGCCTATACAGACATAAATAAAGCAGCGACTGTATTCACCATGACACAGGCAGTCTGTGGTGTGTACTTGTTTAACTTTTGTCGAGTTTCTGAACATATATAAGGAGCTGTGAGCTCTGAGTGCTCACAGCTAACGGCTGTGTTGTGTTTCTGGATTTCTCATTGAAGATGACGTCACGGCTCCGCCTACACTGCGTTACTATAGTAACTACCCCAGTTCCTAAACTGTAATGGAAGCGCAGCATGAAGTGAGTCGGCCCTGTTAAGGCCCAACGCGGCCAAGCCGTACCGAGCCGTACCGAGTGTGGCCGAGGCCGACCGTGTAGTGGAAATGCGCCATTAGAGAAACGCGGAATTTGGGTCCTTAGCTTGAAAAAAGAAGAAAAAAAAAGGGGGCGGAGTTCTATCAGAATTCTATTGGAGATAAAGTTAAATTCTGCTGTGATAAAATGCCATCCTGTTCTAAACCACATCAAGGATTATTTCTGAAACAGTATGGAGCTCAAATGCTTTTTCTCTTGCGGGTTTATCACAAGGTGAGTTCCTTTTTTTTTCCTGCTTTTTAAACACATGTGCTCTCCAGTACAGGTTAGCTCTGAGTGTTAGCGAGGCTTGCTAATGTAAACAAAGACGAGATTACGTCCAAAACCCGTCAGGCATTGTTTCTGATAGCAACTTTCTGTGGGTCCGCCGCCAATTTGACGTCATATCGGCAGCAAATCTGTATACGCTCGTTGTACCCCCGTTTTTAAAAGATTTGGGTACGGAGGAAAAGAGAAAGGGTTTTATTTTCTGACGCTGCGTGAGTTCCCCGACGCACCGGGGACACATATTTATGTATAAAAGACATCAAAAAGTGCATTTTGCATGATAGGTCCCCTTTAAACTATACAGGTCCAGCCCACCCTTACAAAAAAACACTATAGTATTACTATTAAGAATTACTATAGAAATACCACAAAAAAACTATCAGTATTTTCTATATTATTTCTATGGTTTTTTGGAACACACTATAGAGAATTACTTTAGTAATACTATAGAGTTGGCTATGGTGATCTTATAGTGAATCTATAGTTAATTAGCTTGAATAATTATGTTGTCATCCCTATAGTAAGTATGGTATCAACAAATAAAAGTTAGCAAGCAGAGCAGTTTCAATTTGAAAGATAGGGACTTTATTAACAAAATAAAATACTTTGTTCACAGAATATGAATAT